CCCCTTTTTATTCCCCCTATGTCTTTACCTTACTATGGACTAATCGATTTTCTTCCGGCTTATATGCTTTTTTGATTTCCTCCCCCTTTATTTCCCTCCAAAATAGATTAAAGATCAATTAAGAACCCTTTTTTTCCCCTCCATTATTCATTGTTATGCCCCTCTCATGGTTCTTTTAATCCGTTCCCCCTTTTGGTCAGTTGTATACCTTTCCCTATTGATTCGGAGGATTTTTTGATCTTTTGTCCTACACAAGGAGGAAGAAAAAGTCGAAGAGGTGGAGGAGGATGATGAAGAAGAAGAAGAAGAAGAAGAAGAAGAAGAAGAAGAAGAAGAAGAAGAAGAAGAAGAAGAAGAAGAAGAAGAAGAAGAAGAAGAAGAAGCAGAAGCAGAAGGCGGGGGGGGGGGGGGGTCAGATACCAAGGCGATTTGAGAGACAGGATTGAAATGGAATCCCGGAGAGAAAGCAAGCAGGATCGGCAGGAAATTTATCAGTGAAAGATTAAGCGGTCCTAGTGTCGGTACATACCAGAGGCACCACTAGAGTATTTTGACTAACCAAGATTTTTAAATCTAAAAATACTTATCTGAATATTGATTTGGATTTCATTGTCTTATTATGTTTTTGCTTGACGAGTAGTACTCCGGGTCTGTGTCTTAGCAATAGGTTACCTCTACCAGTTTGACGTTGTCAAGATTCAGAGTTGCCGCTGATTCAGGCCTCCTCAATCGTCTCCCCTTCTCTCTACTTAACCTTATTCGTACGCTCTGGGGTCATTTTGTACCCCCGGGGTTGTATTCTTCACATTTTCCAATACTTCTAGTGCGAAGATCTCTTTGAAACTTTCAGTATTTCTAAAAAAAATCATTTTGACAGACTGCTATGTGAAGCGTACGGATCGGATTAACGAGTAAATTTCCTCTTTGGAAAGTGGTGGCACAGAGTTCCCCACGTATGGATACAATGGCAAAACACGACGTGCGATCATTAGTGGTTGTTGTGAACGGTGTTAGGGGGGGGGGGGGGCTACACCTAGAGGCTATCTCGCTTATTACTGGACTGAATTTTACCAAATTTCACACATATAACAAGCATAGTAAGGAGTCTTAAAGTCCGCAATCAAATTTGATAAAAAAGTTTCGTTTCCATGGATACGCCGCCATATTGGATTTTATTGACATGTCTTACATAATGAGTACCGCACTTATCGCTCATGGAAATTGATTGGGGTTTTTTGCATGCGTCTTCACAAACATTAGATTTTAAAAAATGTCTGTTGTTTTTTTGCTAATCGAATTAAAAAATTTTTATGAATTTTTTCCTGAGGTAGCCTTCAAGTTTGCGAAAAATCCGTGAAAATCCACACTCCAGACACCACCAACTAAAATCTATTCCATATATCAAAAATTCAATTAATATTACCTCTTTTCTTCATTCTGTGAAAATTTAATGAAGATTGGATGAAAAATGGTGGAGTTATTTTAAAAAGTGTAGAGAAAAGTCGTATTATGAGAAAACGGCCGATAAAGAAAAATAAGATACTGACTTTATGAGGAAATGGCGGTTACAAAATGCCCGGTATGGGAAAAAATACGGTTTTTGGGGGGTTCTTATGCCATGAAATAGTTGTAGGAGAGGCTGACGAAGCTAAAAATGCCTACAACTCAAATTCCATGATTTTGAGCCGAATTTTGATTTTGGGGGTGTAGCCCCCCCCCCCCCTTAAAAGCATTACAATTTTCCCGGCGACTTTTACTTTCATGGGTTTTTAAGTGTAAAAAGAATCTAATAGAAAAGAGGAAAAAGACAACACAATGTGTTTGCACACTTTTACAATCGTGCGTTGCAGATATGTCTATCTTTGGCATTCAGGCCAAATCCAATACACCTTTCATGGAACAGATCAGTTATTAAGACAAAAATGTGAACTGCCCCAGTTTCTTGTTAAAGAGTTGCCATAAGCTGGTGGACTTTGCCACTGGTGTCCCTATAATTCAAAAGCTTATTGTAACCTCTGCCCCCCCCCCCCCCCTCTCTCTCTCTCTCTCTCTCTCTTCCTAAATCGGCACAGTATTGATCATTCAGGATGCAGGCTGCTTCGACCGGTACCGTTTGGAAAACTACATTCCAACAAAAAGATATATTCGATAAAATACCTTTCTCAAGCGCAAATCGAAGTCCCATCTTTTGCGAGCTAACAATACGGCGTAACCGTCATGCAAAGCTTACAGAAAAGATGTTGGTCGATCTATCAGATTGTTCATTTTCCCCCTGAATAAAGAAAGACCATATTAGCAAGAGCAGAATGGGTTTTGTTGTTTCCAACCTAAATACCAATCTAACAGCCTGCACAATCTACTTTGCTTACAATTCACCCATTTAAAAGCTTTTTTTTTTTTTTTTTTTTTTTGGGGGGGG